AAAGAAATTAAACCATCACGTCTGCTTTCTCATTCATATTTTATTCAATACAAAATATAATTTGGAGAAATTTTGTTTATACTCTTTTATGTTGATGATCTCGTATTATTTTATTTATATTAGAGAATCCACCGTGTCAAATTAAATTTTCTTTGTAAGGATAGGGATTTATATTGTTTCATTCTAGGAAATGACAAACATTGTTCACTTTATTCATCCCTATTGTGCGCGTGCGTGAATTCCAGAAGTAAGCGACATACTACAATAACTCCTCGCTGTTACAGACACCCGATATAAATGTAAAGGGAGCAAAGGCGCGCGAATAGAGTCGAGGGCGCACGTGGAAGGAGAAGAGAGGACATTAGGGAAAGGGCAAACAGAGGTGGATCTTGGAAAGTACCTATGGGAGGAATCGCAATGGACATAAAAGATTATATTCTCCAATTGAGAAGAAGCTAGTCATGATTATCCTTATTCTTGATATTTTATCTGTCGCATGTTGCGAGATAATACTTTAAACTTTCTGGAGAATGTTTTACAGAAAACACGAAAAATTAATTCTCTTCGTGTAGTTGTTCCTCCCTGGATCCGTCCCTGACGGAAGAGGTGGTTATCGCGAGAGAAAGGGTAGGGAATGATATCGAAACGAGGCGGGGAGAGATGAGGAGGGTATTAGTGGAAGAGGAGGGAAATGGCAGAGGAGAGCGAGCACGCGAGCGAGAGAGACCGCGAAACCGAGCCGCGTATCGATCGGCCCAGCAGAAAACTACCCCTAGCAGGAGACTTCGCAGTGTGCGAGAGACCGATCACGTACGAGAGTAGTCAGTGGGGTGCTCACTCGCGGTGCTCGTGGGCCCACGCGGATTCCCTCCTGTTCCTCACGCACGTAAAGGCTACGCATCCGCTCGTGTCTCTTTCATCCATCGACGTCGTCCACATCGCCGTCGGCGTGCGCTAGGGCGTGCAGCATTTGGGGGTGTCCGGTTCGTGCCGGAGGGCTGAGCGCTCAGAGGTGAGGCATGTCCTTGTCGTAACTTGCATTTTGCATCGTGAACCATTTGTCCACCGCTACCGCGTTGTATTTTATTATCGTAATCGTTCCTTCCGCTCCCAGCACAAGAATCGTCGCACTGGCAATTCGGTATCGCGTGCAATGTGACGTACCACGGGTCTTCTGGAGCGATGTGTCGTCCCGTTCGTGGACTATGGTTGACACGAGATGAGATTGCTGTTGGGTATAGCGAGCTCAGTGACGAGTACAATTCGCAATGGGATTGTAGTCTCAAGTTGAAGTCTAGTAATGTGATTGTCTTCATCTATACCTACCTGTAATCGGTCGGTTGCTCACTATATTTCATTTTTTACCATTTAGATATAGTACTGTAGTTACCTATATTGTAAAGCTATGTTATAGCTCTCTATATTCTGTGCTGTCATCGGCGCTACCTGCCATATTTAATATACTCTTATCCTTTTCGATATCGTGCACCAGCTCACAATCTATGTTATAGTCCTTTATGTTACATTTCTATTTATTCTGGCTACATTTTATAGTTACCTGTTGTTTTTATTACAGTTTTAGCTAATCTTATCACTTATTACGTTTCTTTTCTTACATAAAATTTCTGTCTAAATTTCATTATTCTGATAAATTTCATTATTCTGCTGTTATCTTTTATGACTTTACATTTTACTATTCAGTACCGCACTGCCATCTACTCTTTCAATATTATGTGTTTTATTACCATTCGTTTATTTATTACTACTGTATAATTCTACTACTAAGACTCAAGAATTTAACTTAAGAGTGTAAATACGGCATTTAATACTTAATGGTACAGTTAACATTGATAATCAAATTATTGTGTCGTAAGAAAATCAGGACATTAACCATTGTTATCGGACTGTGTCAGTATAATCCTCCATCTTCCCGTCCAGTCGCCCACTTACCAAATCTTGTATCCTTCTCTTCATCGATTTATCTCGAGAATCTTTCGGTTATAATACCGGTTTGATCAATCGAACCTTCGTGTCTTTTAATAAAACTCTCATCGATTATTATGAATTTAATCTCCCTATGCTTGTTTATTAATAAAAAAATTGCATTTATTAATACACTTATTAAGAGAGTTTCAACGGTATATTGCGGTCAATGCGTACCATTCTAAAAGTTCGCCGTACAAACGGCGGCTCTTCTCATTAATAGAGCGTTTATTCACTTCAGGGAATCCGTCGGCGGTACATTAATGGAAATCTCGATTTTGCTATTGACAAGAATTACTCAGAAAGAGTTATCGGCCGGTGATTTTTTACTACGAGTGCAATGTGTATGTAAAGAGTTTCGACTTAGTTTGCCTTCGGCTAGTTTCGTAAGGTTAATTAATTGTATAAGGTTCCGACGACCTTTGCTCGTCGGAATCGCCGACTACTCAGGTCAATTATAGACTCTTTGCGCCTGCTTGTAGAGCTTCTTTAGTTCGATAGGTATACTTCCTTGCGAAATTCACACTCTAGGATTTATTCAGATTCTTTCATAAAAGAATCATGTTGTTGAGAATTTGTCAATTATTCGCGATACATATTATTCGCCTTTAACTACTACAGATTTAGCATTTAAACATTTCACATTTATATAAGATTTTGTTAGACTGAATTTTTAGCTCAGTACGAGAAATGTTACGCGAGGAATTTCTTGATGGACAATTTGCTTTTATTGAAATCTGTCGTGAATTTATAGACATCTCCATCGTTGCTACAACTTTTCCATATTAAATATCTATTTCGATATGCAGAATTTGCACAAAAGAACCATCAATGTGTCACGTACTATTAATCAAGCAAATTTCCTTTAATAGATTTATTCGTTAGATTTTGCGAATAAAATTTCTGTATTGTACTAGACATCTCCATATACATGAATTTATCGACTTGCAATATTGCTTTTATAAAGAGAACGCAATAACTTATTGTCAAATCATCTCAAATTTATTATTTATACATTTTATTATTTATACATTTTTGAAATGCGTTCTTTATTTATATTGTTGTTACATTTCTGTATTTTTCTGAGAAATCGATGTACACAGTTACATTAATAAATACTTGCTCTAACAAGATTCCCACTGCGGATATATGTTCATTGATCGGGTTATATAAAATGATAAAATAATTCTATAACTTACAGTCAATGGATTTAAATAAATTATACTGTTGGATAAAAAAAAACACCAAAACGAGACAAGTCATTTCCTAGTTTAGTAGTTTTTTTGAATGCTGCATACGAATCCGTTTTCCAAATTGCTTCATCACGTTATAATTTTGAGAAATTTGCATTTAAAATTACAAAAAGGATTATTTTTATATATTTTGTCACATTGTAATTACGATATGTGATATATTGGAGAAATTTTATTGTGATCAAAATTAAATATATTGTTAGGACTTTTAGCTTTTAAAAGAAATTTTTAGTGTCGGCTATTATGATCAATAAGATATTTATGATTAAATTCGAGAAATTGCGAAAGAGTTATATATAAATTAAATCATTAACGATTTACTAAATAACTTCTAATTGTGTTTATTTAAACTTAAGAATTTTTTTAAAACGAACACGAATCCGATGTCAGAATTAACAAATTAAAAATCATGGAAGGCCTCTAAACATAAATTTTTGCAACAATTCGGTTATTTTTCAAGTTTTATCATCCACTGTATTGAATCTGCCATTTTAAATTCATCAATTTTGATATTGAAATCATATTTAGCGACTTAAAAAAACTCTAGAAAAAAACTTTTTAAGTAAATATAACTGAAAGCTATTTAATAAATTGTCAACGATCTAATTTACAACTTTTTCGCAATATAAGATTCCATATTTAACTACGAATATTATTAACCACAGTTAATACTAAAAAATTCTTTTGAGAAAGTTCTAATAACATACTTAACCTTTAGTTAGTCGCGCGAAAATACTTACGTCGTGAAATAAAATGACTTGGGGTCACGGCGACTTCACACGACTAATTAAAGGTTAATTTTGATCGTAGTAAAATTTCTCCAGTATATCAGATATCGTACTTATGACACAATGAAAATAACTCTTTTTGTAAATTTAATTCAAAATTGTGACGGCGCAATTTGAAAAACGAATTCAAAATCATAAAAATAATCAGTTTGAGAAAAAGTCGTTTTTTATTGAACAGTTAGAGATTGTTTGTTTTCATTAGGAAGTTATAGATTTTTTTTTAATTATGTGCATTGAATTTGATGACATTATTTTATTCCCCGTCACACAAAAAGAATAGTTTTGGTGGAAGTATCTAAAAATTTAACTATCTAAATTATCAAAATCGTCAAAATAATTATGTAGGACGTTCAAATTTTGATGCTAGAATGTCAGAAATTTTTTGCTCATTATGTTTACGTTTTAATTATTTTGACACAATTATTTTCAACAAAATTATTTTCAGATCTGTAGTTATATATAGCTAAATTTTTAAATACTTCAGCAAAATCATTCTTTTCGTGTATCAAAAGCCTTGGAAGTCACGCATGAAGGATCTATCGATGCGGGCCGTCCATCGTTAATAAGAGCACACATTATTTACTCTCATTAGAGCCTGTTAAGAGGTCGGGTCGGCAGCACGTTACGACTTAAGATTTCACGCGTGTGAGATCACCACGAGATCCACGAGACTTATTTACTCGCGGCCATCGGCGTTGTCTCTACACCTGTATGGCTGAAACATATACGAGGCAATCAAGTTACATCAGCGACGAGTTATGATGCTGGAAAACACGACATACGATCGATAGTATTCAAAATCATCCCATTCGCCTTGGCGAGGAGCCAGCGACATAAATTCAAAACTTTCATTCTATTTTTCCAACGTTCGCTCTTTTTCTTTCTTTTTCGATCCTTCTTTTCTATATGAGTTTCTCTTTCTCGTTGAATTCACACGTGCAACCTGTCTGACAGTCTCGTTTCCGTTTTGTTACAGGTCGGAACGATTTACGTGTGATCCAGGCAACGACACGACAGCATCATGGCGTTTGCCGGGCTCAAGAAGCAAATCAACAAAGCGAATCAGGTAAGCGTTTGTCATGGAAACGTCTTATTCCTCGGTAACTTGACAATGGATCTTCTCGCTGCATGGGATCAATAATATCTTTTCCTTAGAATAACTAGTCTACAAAGGAAAGTTAAGCTTTGAAAGCAAAGCACTCGAAATAACTTTTGACGTATTGAATTTTTTTTTCTGATATTGAATAATAAATCAATACGTAGTGCTGACAGAAGGAATTATTGTTTAAATAATCATTTCATGTATTTCTTCTATTTATCGAAAAATTCGTCAATTTCTTCATTGAAAAAAATTTACTAAATCTTAATATATACTTCTTTGAATAGAATTAAGTAAATTAAATACATTTATTTACAGTAAATATTCATTTACTAAATGTAAATACATATTTATTTGACAATACAATAACCATATTTGACATACAATAACCATTAATTTGATTTAACTATTATTTTTTTATTAAGTAAATATTTACTTAGAACTATTCAAACGAATATTTATTAAAATTTAGTTTTTTTTCAATATTTTAATGCATGTCTATATTTATAGTATATGAGACTTTGCGCATTTGAAATTCAATTCATCCATCGCGAAATTGTATCTTGAGCTCTGATTATTCTAATTAGCTGTTCTCATTTGGTTAGATGACGAGATGCTTTACGCATTTATTACGCTATCGATGAGTACTTACAAAGAGCGTTAAAGGGAGTATCGCGTTAACGATTTGGTATAGCGCGCACGATCTGCCGATATGACGTATTCATTATGTGGAGCCCTGTTGAAAGTTTAATCGTTCATATATCAGACTACATTACGATGACGCTCGTATATCGGGCTACATTACGCCAATTACCGGCGATGTATTGCTACTTAGATGTCGCGAACTTTTATAATTACCAGCGCGGTTCGTCCCTGCGTTACACGAGGTGTTTTAATGCGATTACTTGTCGTCGGGAAACTCATGTTTGCATAACTCAGCTAGATTCTCGGTATCACCACGATGTACTCCGTAACAGTTAATACAATCGGATAAGCAAACATGCCCGATGCGTTCCGAAACTCGAGATTTGAAACGCAGATTAATTGTTATTACATAAATATTTTATCTTTGCATCAAAATGTTATTATATCTTTGCTTGAACTATCTTTATGTTGAAATTTCTGATATTCCTTGAGAATGTTCGATGTATGGGAATTTTATTATTGGAGAATCTTACGCGATCCATGAAACTCTTAGAATTCGAGGATTGAAATCTAAGAGCTTGGCATGCATAAAACAAAACACAAGAGAGAGAGAGAGAGAGAGAGAGAGAGAGAGAGAGAGAGAGAGAGAGAGAGAGAGAGAGAGCGAGAGAGAGAGAGAGAGAGAGAGAGAGAGAGAGAGAGAGAGCGAGAGAGCGAGAAAGAGAGCGAGACTCTCAGAGAATTACTGCAATACACGAAAAGAACAGTTTTAATGAGTTGAAGTATAGAAAAATTTAGCTAGCTACAGATCTGAAAATAATTTTGAATTATCAAAATAATTATGAACGCTTGATTGCGATAATGCTGCAAAAAATTTTAACATTCTAGAACCAATTTGAGCGTTCTACATAATTATTTTGATTCAAACATAATTATTTTCAAATATGTATCTAGCTAAATTTTTAGATACTTCAACAAAATTGATCTTTCCATGTAGAACTACACATATTTTATAATAATAGGCGAATATACTTTTTTCGAACGTGATCTTCGCATTTATGCGAAAAATAATGCGTTTTGAAGAATTTATTGAGATTCATTTAGTAGAACATTTTTGAAAGAACTACGCTCTTGACAACCAGTTGATGCGAGTTATCATTTGGTCCAGCATGCTATATGCGGAGAGTTTTCGTATCAACTGCAGACGTGGCATTATCACGCTGTCATGTTTAATCTTGAAATGACAAGCAGAGAAGCTTGGTTGCTCTCAATATTGAAGTTTATTCGCAGCGAGTCTGTGGCGAATTGACGGTTAATTGTTAATTGAAAGAAACATACTTATCAAATCAATAATGGTCATTTACGTTAATGAAATGAGATCGTAGTACTTGATATTGAGTGATTTTTTAAATTATGCGTAGATTTTAAGAGTATAAAGAATTTCATATAAAAGCAGGAATAGGCATTTACAAAGTTTTAGGTATTAGTCTAAAGATAATGTAATAGTAAATATATGTGTCATGGAATTACATATGTGTGCACAAATATCGATGTTCCACTTGTTTTTATTTGAATAAACATGAATGTAAAAAAATAGTATATAATACTGTTACTAAGAGTACATTTTTCAAATGAATGAAAATTAATATTAAATTAATTTCTATAAATAACAATAATTTAACAATAAATATATAGTAAATTTCTATGAATAATAATGTACAAATCTTTATCTTGAAATTATATCATTATATATCACGTTAATTACACAACGTGCTTATTATAAACCCGCATGGTCTTTGTATTTATATCTTTCAGTTAATTTCGTAGTTATTTGCTTTTCACTGTGAAAATCCATATACGATGAAAATGTCGGAAATCTCATTGAACATGCGTCATGCGTAACTTATGCTCTAAATACCGTGGAAAACTTGATTATGAAATTCTTAACGATGTCAGGCTGTGTGCTTAAAGGGGACGCGATGTACGCGTTTACGTGTTGTGCGAAATTCTGTATGCTTATATAGTATTTCTGTCGTGTACATATTGTCGACGCGCAATAATGAAAATTACTGCAATTATTCCCATGCGCTGCTCGTAGGTACACGGTAAAGTATTATTCGTGATTATGCAAACGCGTCATTTTATTCCGAGGGGAAATATCGATAAAAGTTATCGATTCTTAATAATTACTGCGTTTTTGCAATTGTGTTGTGCTTCAGGAAAATATAATCCACCAAAAAATTAAATCAATTATTATTTTATTATTTATTCTGTGTTTTATACTTGGTGTTTTATACTTTCATTTTTATATTATTTCTATATTATTTTTTTTAATTAAGAAAAATTAAATTAAAAGTTATTTTATTATATTTATTCTTTGTGTGATTGTACTTAATTTTAGATATTGTCTTTATGTTTGAGAGATCGACTTCTGCATAATTTTATATTATATAGTTGTCGATATTACATTTATATTTTATAAATTTTATTTATATTATATTTTATAAATTTGATTCAGAGAGTATCGTTATAGATCTCGTTAAAGAGAATTAAGCGTTATGTTTTTGCTAAAAGAGAGTTGAGCTAAGAAAAACTCGCAAGTTTTAATACAGTTCTCAAGGGGTGTCTTGCTAGCACGACATGCGTTGGCGGGATGTTATCTTGGCCTTAATTACCGCACTGCAAAGTCTATCGCAAATGCCAAATGAAAATCCATGTCGTCGAGGCGGTAAAATGCGAGCGATGAGAGTTCGGTCGAGCGAAAAGTGCGAAACAATGCGAATTATTGCGCACGGATGCTCGTAACTATTATATAATGAACGATTTTAAATTATCGACCGTGGCTGGATAAGTTCTCGGGGATGCATAGCCATTGAAATCTTCGGTGATGCACGATGATGGCAGCTTTTGACCTTTGCTTTCCTAATTATGCACACAACCTTCGAATATTTATATTAAACGAAAAGCATCGATCGATATTCCAATTCGAGTTCATTCGTTCGCATTCGAAGTATTTTTACAGCGACGCATTATAAGAAATTCATATTATATTTTATTCATATTATATTTTCATATTATATTTTAAAACAATTTCATATTATATTTTAAGATAGTAATCAAAATTTTTTCCTTTGATAAAAATTTTAGGCTATTAAATTTTTTATCATTTTGCGTTAGATTATATGGATTCTCTTTAACTTTATTTCATTGTATTTATATGTAATTTAAAGCAAGAATGTTAAAATCTAGAAATTTTTTAAAAAATTAATTTGATTTTTCATTTAATAATTTTTTTTGATTAATATATTAATTTTTTTTGATACAACATAATGTTTGATAAATAAATAATTCATCAAATAAATGTATTTATCGAAATTAAAAGAGAAAGAGAGAGAAAGATGGAGGAAGAAAACACAGATAAATTCGAAATATTTATATATTTTTATTTGCAATTATATTTATAATTTGTTATAAATATTGCATTTTATTTGTGAACGCTGATTGGCTTCCTACGATTTATTTAAAGCGTTTCCGATTATCCGTATACATACGTATATCTATTTTCGCATATAAAGTGATAGTTCAGCGTTAGTGCGCACGCAAATAAGGCGTATATATATTCACCATATTGCGTCGTGGTGAAAATTGCATGTCTATCTCACCACGCAGAAAACCCGGAATCGAATTCACGCACGCACGCACGCACGCACGCACACGCGTGCTTACTTCACTTTCTGTGTCCTAATTGCATTTGCCACGATACCTATATGTATGTACGTGGCTGGTGTGTGGGGCTCTAAGTGCACCGTCGCCGTTGTGATGTTGCCGTGTTATACCACCGCTAGATAGAACCCGTAATATCGCGGATGTCCTGTTCGTCGTTATCGATGTTAGGACGATGGCGAACGGATATTTTTACGACGATGCTTTCCCGATGTCGTGAACTCGCCGATGATATTACGAACCGATCGACCATGCGAGCTTTCGAGATGTTATGTGCACCGCTTTTCCTCGTGCTTGCCTGAAATTCAATTCGAACCTGTATGCGCACAAACGAGATATTTAAAGGTTGTACATCGTCCTCGATAATAAGAGGTACACGTGTTCGGACAGTTGATGATTATGTAATAGTTTAATATGTAATTTAATAAAAAGCAAGCAACATATTAATTTCACTTTGATACGACACAATAATTTTTAATAAGTAAATAATTCAGCTTTAATAAAGTATTTATTAAAAATAGAGAACTAGGATTTCAAAAATTAAAAAAAGCTAGGGAAAGAGAATGATTAATTTATAAACTGAATGTAAAAATTACTTATAAAAATGCCTTCATAGATAATATTAGTTGCAATTGAAATAACAACTGTTATCATGAATAAATATATACGTATTGTAATAAAATATAGAAATTGTAAATTATAAAAAAAAACAGATAGAATATGATATATAAAAAGTTTTAATTAATAATATTACGTTGATTGATATTACGTTAATTGATTTCATTTCAACAATATCTTTTAACCAATATTATATAAAAATAATATGAGAATAATATCGCATAGGTTCTGTTAGTATTTAACGCAAGTAAAAATTAAATATTAAATGTTAGCATTTAACGCAAATAAAATTAATAATATTCGAATAAATAGTGAATACTGGAGTATCTTGTTGCCTCTTTTTAAAGATCAGATTCTTTAACTCGTGTTTTTTTTTTTTTTACCTCGAGTATACAATTCGTGAATGTAACTCTAATCTCGACTCAATGTCGTCCAAACGAACGTCTGTGAAATTCGACGGCCGTATACCGACGGTTAATCTAGTTGTCGCTTTAATTCAAGTCTCTAAAGGTCTTATACGAACACAAATGTTTCCGTTGAGTGAAGCAATTAATTTTTGTTTAGATCGAGACCCTTATCGAATCTATACCATGGATCTCTTACTTTAAAGGTGAAAGAACGATGCAAGTCCACGTCGAATGTATGTCAAGAGATTTTTTACGATATACATGGCTGAATTTGTGGCGTTAAAATTTAGATCTTATTCAAAATCGATCGAGTTTTAAGTTCCGTTCATTGCAAAAGTTATGAATCGGATATAAATACCATTCCTTCAGAGCTTCAATCTTATCGATTTTTCCAATTATATTTTTATATTATTCGTTATTATTGTGGCAGTTATTAGGAAATTGATTTCAAATAGAATCGATTTTCAAAGAAAGTATGGAAAATGATTTGTGAAATCTTAATAGATCTTGGAGTTTTATCTCTTTTTTTTTTAAATAAATATGAAAGTTAGATGACTACCATGTGGATCATTCTACACGAATATTTATTATTTTACTAAATTAATATAATTATAGGCTATTATAAATTTTACTTTAACAGAGATACAAAACATATAATTATAATAAGTGTGATAAAACAATTTTGACAAATATTTCACTATGTTATTATTGTGATATATTTGTTTTACAATATAAATTTAGTGGACAATTTTTTTTTTGAATTTGAATTTAAAGTTTTTTTCTTGCCATAAGATATTTTTTAATTCTATATGATTTTTGTATTTGTCGTCAGGGTGATCTTATTCCGTTTATGGAGACATCCATCATAATATATTAGACGCAATTTAAATCACCGGAGACGAAACGTTTATAGGCTGTAAAGCGTGCGACATTGCAAGTGACGTGATGTAGGTCAAATTTACTCCAGGATGGCATTTGCTGCGTACGAGTGACGATTACGTTTCTATGCGCATCTCTGGAAATAGGTCATTATTAAATGGGTCAGGGTCTCTCTCTCTCTCTCTTTCTTTCTCTCTTCATCCCTCTTTTCTCCCTCCTTCTCTTGCGAATAATCCCTCTTGCAAAGCTCGCCGCTTAGCACTTTTAAACGTACGATATTATTCCGTGTCCTTCACTCTCTTTTCACATATAATTAATTGTACAGGAAAAAATGAATCGCACAGCATTATATTTATTTATATACATAAAGAAGTCGATTTTTTTTTAATATAATATGACACTGCAATTTGGATATTCTTGCGATTGTCGACAATTCTAGTTGCTTCCAATATCCGGGTAAATATTTGAATTTATACGAATGAAATCGAGTTAAATGCGTAAAATGCACTTAGAAGGACTTTTAAAGAGTTTAGAGGAGAATATCGGTAGATCTAACTTTATTGTAACTTTCTTTCATTGTTTGTGTTACAGAAATTTTAAAGTAGAAAAAGCAAGTAGAGAAAAAAAGTGAGAAAGAAGGAAGCAGGAAGAAGATAGGAGATAATTAACCTAATGTTAATTAATGTTGATCTTGTCTGTGCAATTTAACTTTAAATTTTATATTGCATCGAATTATTTTATTTTAGCAAACTTTGTTGTACATCATATACAATTTATTATATTTTTTAGATAATTTATTATAATTTATTATAATTTTTTAGGATAATACAAAATTGAAGTTTCGCAAAAATTTAATTTTACGATGATTGACAAATTTCGATAATGATAATTGTTTAAATTTATATTAAATATTAAAATTAGATATTAAAATTTATTTATTAGTAAAATATTAGGAAGAATTTCGCAAGGTTTATAATATTCTTGTTTTAAATCCGATAATATGTAATTTCACCACACACCTCATTAGTTAATCCAATGTAATACAAATGATGAAACCCATCGAAGTTTCGGAATAATCTCAAAGCGAAAACTTGAAATTTATTTAGCAGAAATTACAGTGCTTGTGAGTTCTCGTATGCCAAGATATTTGACCTATTTTCGCGAGCTTTGGCAGGATGCGTATCCTTTTTCCACCATTGGCAAGGCCAGAGGGCACTATTTCGTATATTGTGGCAAATCGACAGATATTGTTGCGGATATTATTGGTCCAAGAAACAATTGTTTCTTTTGATGATATTTTTTCTGTTAATAGAGAAAATGCTTCTCTTTATATATGTTTTCCACAATACTTTTCACCGCTCCTGACTTTGTTTTTGGAAATCTATCGGAAATATCTCGTTTGTCGGAGAAAATCTCTTATCGCTTTTCAGAACAATCCCGATTTACGAACGATTAGCTGACTTCGCAATATATTTATATAAATGTTCGCGATATTATTATATCGTATTCGCAATGCGGTTTATATGTAGCCCAAAGAAACATTTTCTGGAACGATCTCGTGCGTGGGATAGCATTAAATATGTTCGCTCGAGATCTTAAATTGATGAAGGCTGCTAAACGTGAACATATCAATCTTCTCTTATTTTTAAATTGATTCTCTTATTTTTAAAATTTGACGTTTTTATGATTTTTGCATTTTTTATTCTTAATTTATTGGATTTTCCATTTTTAAACTCTATATATTTATGCATTTATTTTCGATTTATATTTTTTTCCAAATATATTTAGACAAAGCCTCTATTTTTTATTGACAATACAATGTTTATTTTTATGACTGGAGCAATTCAGGCAATAAACAATTAAATTTTCAATCTGTTATTACTTACATAAATTATTTATTATAATTAAGAGATATTCTTTAAAATAAAAAATCAAGAAAATATCAAAAACTTTCGTATTTACTTAAATACTTGAATAAAGGAGCTCGAGAAACTTTTGCCAAATTATACCGATTCATTTTGACAAATATGTATTATTATTTTTTTCACATCCTATTAGGTAATTCTATTAAGAGTAAAATCGGTAAAGTTATCGATTATTTATTCAGATATAGATTTTAGGCTAAGGATAATGGATTTTTCTTGCAGTATATGACAGAGAAGATGGGCGGAGCGGAGGGAACAAAGCTCGATGTTGATTTCGTGGATATGGAGAGGGTGAGTGGTATATTTTCGTACGTAACAAGTGTGAAAAGGAACGTCTTTCATATTTTCGCACAATATTTTGTGAGGATGTTAGGAAAGAGATGACTAGCGTGTTCTATCTACTGATATTATTACTGAATTTCAAAGATTTTCCCCAGTTTTTTTTTGGTTCCTGAGGATCTTATCAATCTTTTAAAAGTACTTTTATGACGCTCTTATTTGAAGCCAGAAGTTGCGAGATTGACTGTGTTATAAAACGAAGTTCTGAAAAATCTTCTTACCATTGGCTTCTTTCTTGAATATTTCGCTTTAACTTTGATATAACATAAATGACGTGATACAATTTTTTATTAAGAACTGTGTTTGCAAATTCCTTCTTTGCAATTGCTTTTAGTTCTTTGGTTACTATTCTTTGTGTACATTCTTATATTATTGAAAAAATAATAGTTTAGACATAAGCTAGAATGTATAACACATATCTTTCAAAATAAATTAATATTTTTGAAATTTATGTGCTAAAAATTTATTATTAAATCTCATAAAGACATTATTTTGAAAATAACTTTTTAAATAAACCATTTTATTATTTTATATGTTCACTTATAGAAATATCGAGGATCAATAAGTGTATAATATCGCGAATAAAATTTCAAAGCTTTATAAAGAAATTCTTCACATTCGAAATAAATTGACAAGAGACAAAGAGTTCACATAAACACGTCATGTATCTATAGAAAACAGACGTCACGTATGAACTTGTCGAGGAGCTACAGATGAAGACGAAGGAGTTCCTGCAACCAAACCCGACAGCAAGAGCGAAGATGGCTGCAGTCAAAGGTATCAGCAAACTCAGCGGTCAAGCAAAGGCGTCCACTTATCCTCAGCCGGAAGGTGTACTTGGCGATTGCATGCTCACTTATGGCAAGAAAATGGGTGAAGACAGCATTTTTGGTACATGCAATTTAAATCCTATGATTGCGTTGTTCTTGAGGAATTCGATCCTCACTTCTTTGTCTTAAATGTTCTTCGAAATAGAAATTGTGCTTTAAAATGATTTTTGCGATGATTATCATTATTATTTTTGCTCGTATTAAAATTGAAATTTTATTCCATATATTCCATATATTCAGAGATTTTATTTCCTTTTTCATGAAATTATTCTCTTTTACGCAACAATTTTTGTTAAGAGATGAGATATGATCGAGTTGTTTCAGATAATTGAGAAAAATTGCTTTACATGAGTTAGGTGTTTTCGTGTTTTTTCGAAGTTTATTCTTACAACTAAAAAAGCGAGAAACATCGAGGATCGATAGGTCGTATTATCTCACCTTATTTTCTATCCATTTTTATCAATCCTTGCAGCCCAGGCTCTCATTGAAATGGGCGAAGCCATGAAGCAGATGGCAGACGTAAAGTATTCTCTGGACGATAACATCAAGCAAAATTTCCTCGAGCCGTTGCACCATCTGCAGATCAAAGATCTCAAAGAAGTGATGGTATGATTATTGGAAAAGTTGTGTATAATCGCGCTCGACTGGGCGCTGTTTCTTCACAATCTTCACGCGTTCGATCTCCTCTGATTTGTTGTTTTCAGCATCATCGGAAGAAACTGCAAGGCCGTAGACTGGACTTCGATTGCAAGCGAAGACGACAAGCAAAAGGTATGTTGAGGTTCCTCGCATGTTGCCCTTGCTTCTCGTCCTCTCGCGTTTCCGCACTCCTATTGATTTATTCAGCTGCGCGCGAGCGAACCGTCGTCGCGAGTGTCCTTGCACGAACACATCGCGATGCCCGTGCTTCGAAGAGTTGAAATAAAAACCTCGATAGAGCTATAACGCTAGTAATGAGACTAGGCGATTGCGTTTCCGACGCGGGGAGCGAAGTTAGAAGATCGCATTTTCGCGAAACGGCGGTGTCATAAAAGAACGCGAAAAGCGACATTATCGGGCTCTAATGGTGAAAGGTTACAATTGCAAAAATCGTCACTATTAAAGAAATAAAAGTGCTGTGATCAAGACGGAAATTATTTTCTTTCGATGGAGAAAAACTTGTAGTTACAAAATCATCATTTTTGGAAATCTTAGAGAAAATGATACGTCACTTTTTATGTAATAAAAGGCTAGCAGTCGCAGAAATATTACTTTTGAGCAATGATGCTTTTTATATTTGTAATTCTTTTTTCTAGGAACTATGTACTTAAAAAAAATATGCATAAAAGTAAAAGTTTAGAAGTTTTTGGAGTTTTTTTCTCATCTTTGTGAGTCATATTGCATATCTTTTTATATCTTGTACTGTGTAATTTTAATCTTATCTGATATTTTATTATTCTCACTTTTAATTTCAGTTGTTATTGTTTATTATTATGCTAAAAAACAATCCGCTTTGGCGACTATATCGGTTTTACGCTTTCAAAATTTTTTTTAGACAATTTCCATTTTGATTGTTTTATAACTTATAATACTTTTTCAACGTAATAACATGTCTATTTTTAAGTTCTTTACGAAAACAGTTTTATTTTCTATTGTCAGCATGTGTGTGGGAAAATAGAATTATGTTTCGTATATGATTCATTATCTCAGAATTAGGGATTATCACAATAAAATCGTTGCATGAGTAGATGCAAATGGTATAATTTTTTTTGCAATAGAAAGAAAAAATCTTTTACTCGCATGCTGCGTTGCATGAGCACGATCGAATAGAATCACGAATCAGTGCTACAGTATGGACTCGAAAGTAGGGCGCGAGAAGAAGACTTTTCTTTAATGTGCGTTTTATACAAAGAAATTATTTTTCTCTGTTATGATTAGCTCGCTTACTGCATTACAGCAATTATTAAAGATACAAAAAAAATGTATACAGTATTTTGACAAGGGAGTTCTTCGTGTACTCTACCGTTTACATAAATATGTGCAATATTTTTAAACTAAATAATTTAACAAAATACTATATTAATTTACTATAATTATATAATATATTTGATAAGAATATATTAATTATATAATATATTTGATAAGAATAATATATAATACAATAATAACCGTTAGATCCAAGTTTCTGTTAAAATTTAAAAAACTTAGGCGTAATATTCGCAAATTACTTTGAATTTTTAATTTGAGAATAATTAATAGATAACTCGATTTAATAAATACTTTAATAAATAAGAAAAATGTATATATAACGTAATACGAAATATGTATAACTCGAAATAAATTAGTATTAACATTTTTTATTATATGACAAAATTTTACGTTCGATAATAATTTTTGTGAGTTTTATACATCTCACTTTTATGCTTTTCGAACTTGTTAATACATTTTCCGTCGCAATTCTTTTGTGTTATTTGCTCCAAATGAATTTGTTTTTCGCCTTTTGCTGATAATCGGTGTGCTCTGTCTGTTTTTCATTGGGCAATCGCTTAATTATTAGCGACTGGAAAAAGATCCGTCAGTCCGCATTTTGGAAGTCCTGCGCGATTGGGCATCTCGTCGCCATATACTGGTATGACTTCCATTGTGTGCCTAGGAACTTGTAATTTTGAAAATTTATTACATATTGTACTCCCATTAATTTCCATAAATTTCCTGAAAAATTTCCAAAAAGAATTTAAAAACTATCCTAAACTTGCGAAAATTGAAATATTTTTTGGATTTTTCACACAAATATTCTTGAAAGATATATTTTTAAATATTCTCTAAAAACTTCTTAATTAGATTAAATATATTTTTATTAGATGTTTTTAAATAAGCTAAAATTTAAACTATTATGTCTTGTTGCTAGTTTTAGAAATGCTTTATGCATTGTTGCTAGTTTTAGAAATGATTAGAAAAGATAATTTTATTAAAGTCACGACACTTAAACACGCTTCTTTGTGACGTCAAAAATACACTTGCGCGCTCATAGAACGAATTGCGCTTTTTTGTATTCGTTATATTATAAGTGTTTAGATTTAGGAAATGAAGCAACCCAGTAGTGCAACCTTTTTAATTTCGTTGGCGGGGCAACCGTTTGCGAACAGGTTCTCACGTTTCAGACGACGAGATTCGTCAAGCTGAAGAGAAGTTCGAGGAGAGTCTCCATTTGGCACAGATGGGCATGTTCAATTTGCTGGCGAACGACGTGAGTTGTCGTCATTAGTCTGAAATGTTGTGTGATGCGCACATGTCGAGATTCTTATGACGATCTTTTGCAGGTCGAACAAGTAGCACAATTGGCAACTTTCAGCGAAGCTCTTCTTGAATATCATCAACAATGCACTGAAGTCCTCAGAGGATTGACGGAAATACTCTTGGAAAAGTATGTCTGATTGTATCCAAGTTGTTAGAAAAATCGATACGAAATCCATTTTCAGAATTTAAACAAAAAATGTGTATTAAAAATATACTTATATTTTTAAAAACAATATATCTATATATCTATTTTATATATCAATATATCTATATATCTATATATCTATTTTATTTTATTTTATTTTGTCTCATGAATATCGCTATAAATTAGAATATTTGCTTTATAAAATGCAACTATTATCTTTCTTTTTATAACTAGATAAATAAATATACTAAAAATTGTGAAAGAAATGAAAGAGTCAGCGCAGTACGATGTGCGCAAGTTTATGTTCAACAAAATATATTTGAAATTACATTACTAATCAATTATTCATATAGTCATATATTTCGGCTCAACTTAGAATCATTTTCAACGAAGAAAAAATATATAGCCTCACGTTATATACGTAATCAGACTATGAAATGTTATTTTAGATTTTTGAGTTATTTTGAAATTATTTTAGAACTAAAAGTTGTGTGCCAAATAATACAACTTTTGGAACTCTAAGAGTGACTTCATCTCAGTTTCCTTAATTATGTGCAATGTAGGACCACATATTTTTTCTTTGTTAAAAATGGCTCCAAGTTGAGCCAAAGTGTACAAACAATTTATTAAGTAATGTAATTCAAATATATATTTTATTAAACATAAACTTACGCATCCCGCTGAGTCTCATATTATTCCACAATTTAATACATTATTTTCTATAAGTTCTATTTACCTTTATTTAAATAAATAAATCTTTTACATAAGAGAAGATAAAGATATCCGTTTTTGTGTCTGTGTGATGTTGAATGACTATAACATTTCCTCGGATAATATTGTCTACGGGTAAATGTTTTGCTCTTTAGGAAAGAAGAGGCCGTACACAGACCAAAGATGGAATTTGTGCCGAAGACATTGGCGGATCTACACGTGGATAGTGGATTGTCGGACCATATGAACGGTGGGAACTTCTCTCTTCACGGTAAAACACATTTCACAAATACTCCACCACACTACGCGACGACACTCGGGTGGTCTGGCTGTTTAACTGTTTCTTGTTTTTTTCCTTATTCTCTTCCTGTCATGCCAGGGGGGTGTTTACGTTCTACATTGACTAATATATATTGCATTCTCCTGTCTCTCTCTCTGTATGGAACGCCTTCCGATAAAATATTCGGCGAGATGTGTCTAATATTCTGTATTTTTTTTGCGCACGTGTACAAACTTTGCACTTGTCAAAATTGAACAGAACGAGTCACTGTATTTTAATCTCCTGAAATATTCCTTTACAATATAAATAAAATATTGTTTTTCCACCTTTTCTTTTATAAATTAAATATTTGAACCGAGATGGAAACTTTTAATTGGACAGTTGACTTGATGCAAACTGCAATTCAAGAAAAAGAAAACATAAATTTGTTTTCATTTATCGATACATTTAAAAATGAACGAGTAAATGAGATTAGGAAAAATAAAACACGGATTTAAGAAAATTACAATTTAAATCAAGTTTACTTGAGAAGAGTTAATGGAACGATGTTGCGATTAGTTCTCGTAAGATAATCTTCGCGGATCTGCTAAATAGTTCATTGTTTTATCTATCTATCAATTACGTGTTCGGATGTTAATCGGATGTTAATCCCTTAAGGAATCAATCTTTGTGATTACGCGCAAAATACGTGCACACAATACACACGCTAACTCTCGCCATACTATCACATCATCATCTTATTTTTCTTCCGATTGTGCTGTGTGTATAATGTGGCATACCTGTCTGTCCTTCTGACACAATGTAGGGGCAAGTGGGGCCGGCTCTCCGATTCATGCGGACGGGAAGCGCTCGCAGCTCGAGCTATTTCCGGCCGGAAACCCGCCACAATCTACCAATGGTAAACTTTGCATGGGGGTTTCCTCGTCTTTCTGTCCGGCAAACAAATGAATTCCTTTTTGAATCGCTCGAGGGCGGTTGCATCAACTGTTGCGCCGTTAAGGACGCCATAATTACCTAAAGTTTCTCACTCTATCTAATAATGATTCAGAAACGGATATCGAATCTTACATCACAATTAGTAATCAAAGCTGTTGGTGCGACTGATCTTGCGCAATTCTCTATCATTTTTCTTTCGATGGGATTCTCTACCGCTTTCTCGCTTTCTATAATGACGCTGCTGACTGATCACCATGCACGTTTATTTAGATAATGTTTTGCCATTCTATGCTGTAGAAGAGGATTGTGTTGAATAGATTTTAAGTAAAATTGAATGAAATCCAAATTAATAAGAGTAAGAAGGAATATAGTGATTTTTAAATCTTACTAATTGTAAATTAAAAGTAGATATAATATATTTGGATTTATATTTTAATCCAAAAATTGCAGCAATTTTTTAAAAATAAGAACATAATCTTTCTCATATTTTAACTTGATAACTTTTTTTCAGTCTAGAATAAATTTTTTGAAAAATCATGTTTTTTTCTTAATGTTTTTAAATTTATCAATAATATTTTATTGAAATTGAGATAACTGTCTCCTTCTTGCTGTAAAAATTTTAGTTAGCTCACACAGCTCCCATCGACAAGTAAACATATTAATTTCAGAAGCTTATACTTTTATTCTCGAATATTTTCGGCGATGTTATTTTACTTTTGCATTTAAAAAGAAATCGACATTACACACCACTGCTTTGTGCGACACGATTTTCCGCGCAAGATAGTTCATGACTACCAAGGCAGATTGTTAAATGTGTAGTTTATGAACGTATATGCGATGCGACATGCAGTCACACTATGACGTGTTTTTTTTACGTCATTAGCGAAGTTTTTAGTAGTTTAGCACACTCGTGCCGACTATTTTCAGCTTCACCCTTGCCCTCGCCGAGTAAATCACCAGCGAGAACGCCGATGACACAGAGAACGCCGTGCTGCACAGCTCTGTACGACTTCGAGCCCGAGAATCCTGGGGAACTTGGATTTAAGGTAAATTTACGATATTATTCGTCAAGAATTTAAGCAATATAGTTTAAAATATGTATAGAGAATGTTATATAAAAAATGTGTTATATTCTTCAGACAAATTATATAAGCTATTATTTTTTGCCCTATTATTTTTTAAATCTTTTTTTTTAGATTGATTTTAAATTGATTTTAAATGAAGAATGAAGTTTATAATATATAAGATCCTTAAAACGGATCTTGTATATTATGAACTCGATTCTACGTTTTGTTTTAATCTCTTTAATTATATAAAACTTTCATAATTTTTTTCTATCTTTTTTAATCCTTAATACACATAATGGATCATTTGAATCTTGAACATTTCTTTTTTTAAAAAAAACTGGAAGTACTTGGTTAAATAATTTTTATTCTTTTCTGTTAATACATAATCTTACTTAAATATTTTTTAAACATTAAAGAATTATATATAAATTATATATAAGAATTAATTATTTTTATACTTGTAAAAGTGAAAATTAATTCAGACACGAACGATCCATCAATTTTATCTTTTTTGCAGGAGAACGACACGATCACCTTGACCCAGAAAATCGACGAGAATTGGTTTGAGGGCAGTCTGGACGGTCGCACCGGTTACTTCCCTGTGACCTACGTGCAGGTCGTAGTGCCATTACCCTAAGAGGACGCCGCGCATTTCGAAGCCAAAGACCCAGCGTATTCGTTCACTAGCGTCTATCATTACAGGATTACTCTGCTCTCCAGCTAGCCTAAAACCTAGACGACCTTTCGACGACCTATCTTTATCTATCTATTGTCACTTACGTTGTGATTTCCAGCTTACGTCCAAGACACGATCCCGAGTTTCTCTAGACTTTTCTCCCCGCCCTCTACAGAGATCCCTTTTTCCCTTTCTGCAGACCCAAGAATAGACCTCTGTTACGCATGTTAATGTACATATATAATGTTATAGTGTATTTTATCGACGTATGGACCTTCGCGCGCGCAGAGATATACACACATACACAATGCATACCCAGGAAGTACATGCATAGATACATATAGACGTATTATACATATATATGTATATATATATATATATACATACACAGATACAAAACACGTAAATACCAATATTAATACACACACACACACACACACACACACACACACACACACACACACACACACACACACACACACACGCACGCGCGCATGCACGCACGCACACGCCCCCACATACACACACGCACACGCACGCGCGCGCGCGCGCATATACAGACATCAAAGATACCTACGATAGCAGTTCACTGTCACTGTGGCGGCTCTCTCCTCATCTCTACTTTTCTACATTTTATCTTCCGTCTCATCGAGATGCTTTCGGGATATTTCAATATAGTTCGAGTGCACAAAGGAAGAAAATCGAGCCTAGCGTGAATTGATTTATGGCGGAGCGCGAATTTTCCGATAGTTCCCTCTGGCATTTAATTAATTTTGCCACCGAAAGTGTCGTGTCGTTCCGATAACGAACCGATAACTCGGCACTCGTTTGCTCTGTTGCAAGCTATACGTCGCCTGAATATTACGTATCGCTTGTGTGGATTTCGAACGGGATGAGTTTACTCCAGTCGATTGAATTCGTCGTTAAGGTAAGTGGAAGCTTTTAACTGTAGCATTCATTGTTGAAATTAGTGTTAATTCTGATTAGATCTTTTCTCTTAATATTATATTCTTAATATTAATATCGTTAATTATTAATATTAGTATCAATTTGTATTATTAATATTAATATCATTAATATATAATTAATAGTATTAAAACGAGAATAGTTGGAATTCAGCTAATCAGCATTAAAGAATTCAATAAAGTGTTAGTTCAATTTTAGCAAAGAAGTCATTAGCTTCCAATATAAAAGACATTATTAAATAATCTTGAGATTCTTCTTTGATTGTTGCATTTTTAATTGTTACGTATTTAATTGTTAAGAATGAATTTTAATTCGGCTGGAGCAATCTTACTTCGTTTTATTCGCTCGTTCTCTTTTCGCAAAGTATTCTTGGCCACGAAATCGCGTAAGTTTCTTTATGACTCTCATTTATCATGTTAATTAAGCGCACGGCTTTCCTTGCGAGAGTTTGATCATTCAACCGCGGCACGTGTTTTGGCGTTGGTCCGCGCGGCGCAGCAAACTCGTTACTCGTGTAATGTACTCATATAATAATAATGTTATTGCAATTCGTGTTTCCATTCCTCAGTCGACTGACCGTTCTTTCGGCTGCTTATCGTTCATTCTTCGTTCTCTTCGTTTTTCTTCTTTTTTTATATTAATTGCTAGACGACACTAGTTAGAAGTTAGGATTTACTTTAAGCGAACCTCGAAATGGCGGCAAATCTCTTCCACGAAGTCATTATCTGTGATTATTATAGATATTGCTGGCATTGATTGTGTTTGACAGTGACGATCTAATTCCGTTGTCAGAAAATCTTCGAGTCGATGTTGATACTGAAACAAAACTTATAATAGAAAATCGATTTTGTTGAGAACGTTATTTAGTCGCAACTACTTTTGTATTGACGTGACTATACTACTATTTCAGATTTATTTTTAGTCACGTAAAAAGATACTTGATAGTTATTGAATTTAACTGTGGCAGTTTTTGGGAAAAAAAAAAAAGATTATTTCTGTGCCAGAAACATCAATGCTGTTTTAAAATTATGTGAAATGATGGAAAGTACTAATTTTTAATTGTTATTTATAATTTTTAAATTTTTAAAAATCAAATTTTGAATACATCCGAAACTTTTCCGATAGCCTTTACGATATCTTTTACATAATTCGCGTCGTTTTAAAGAAATGTTTAATTAATTATGCAGAATGTAAATATCGTTTGTATGCTTTGGATACGTTTGGAAAACGGCCAGAGACCAATAGTTATTAATTATTAACTTTCAATGTAATAGCGCAAAAGTAAAATGAGAATGAGGAGTAACAACAGACTTCCTGATTAATCCAGAATGTTTATACATTAAGCAACATAAATATCTTACGCGAACGCTCGACAACGATTTTATTCTTTCGCAGCATCCAGAAATCAGGTTTCCTTTTTCCTCTTTTTGACTTTGCATGAGGGTTTAACCGCCAGAACAATGAAAGTAATTAAGGAACTTGGTTATTTGTTGCCACGTGGATTTTAGGTAAATCTTCGAGCGAGATATCTGCTAAGCATAATGTAATGACACTAGAGTATATTACTTACACGTATACATATTGTCGATAAAGGCGACGGCGAAACTGACCGCGTTATGTATTCATTATCATTGTTCATATATTTTATTGTCATTATTATATCATTGTAATCGCCGCAATGGCAAAAATGTTCTTGATTACATTGAATTATACATTGAATTCAGAACGGGATTCTATTAAATCGATTTCAGACTCGGGACATTTTCCGAATTGAGTGTGCTGTTAATAGGATAAGACAGATACATAAAAGACACATAGAATATAATCTGGTTTCATAGCTTTCAACTTTTCCAAGTTAATTTAAATGCCGTTCATCAAATTACTTTCTGAGCGGTAACATAAGATTCTCTAGATAGAGCATAGAGCTAAAAGAATTTTTAAGAAAGTTATAGAATTTTCGTACGTAGTGTAGTGCGATGTAAAGACAGATGGCTTAATATAGTGATAATCTCTTATATTTCGTTGGAAATTAGAATATCTACGATATACAAATATTAAAGTTACATAGCTGTAGTAGAAATACAGTCAAATCGGAGAATGTTCTTTGTCCCGCAGAGCGATATGCCGATAACGAAGGCACGTACGTTCATGATTAACATAATTAACATAATTAAAGTTTATGATCGCTATTAACATACGCCGATTAACATACCACCGATGTTATCACTTGCTGCTGTCACCGTCGCCGGTTAAGTCTTTACTTCAGACAAGCGACAAGTAGTAAACGGAAGACAAGTCATGAAACGTGGAAAAAAAAGGTCCGCACGCAAATTTCACCGATACTATAATCGCTGTGAGATAAAAACGAAATCCTTTTCGGAACTCGAGGTGTTATCGATGTTGTGCAATATTAAGAGTTTAACATCACGGTGTTTAGCCGGTGGGGGCCATCGTTGAATCAGTGTTTCTCAAACCATGAAAATTTATGTGTGAACGGTGGGAGGGGTGATAAAATGGAACGAAAGTGAAGGACGAATTGTTTTCAATTGGACTAATAACTACTTTTTCTAATTAACGGATATGAAAGATATAATCAAAAAATAGTAGAAATTTATTCCTCATGTAAAGACCATCAAAAAGTTTCCGATCACTTTTGTTCCAGTAGTCTCGTCCGACGTGAAGTGAAAAATTCGCATCAAACAGACGTGAACATCGAAAATGATTTTCACTTTCGGTTATTCGCATGGTATATTTTGTGCGTTACCGTGATGAAATTACTTTTTGATATCTTAACAATTTTCGAGAAATTAAATCTAAATTAGATACGAACGAATATGTATAATATGAAATTATCTGCAAACAAATTAATCTGCAAAACAAATTAATTATCTGAGCTGAATTAATAGTACATAATTGTTAATAGTACATAATAACGTCAACATAGACAATGATAGTTGAAATTAAAAATTTAATTCAATTGTTATCTTGTAGATACAGTAGATAATAATAACATTTAATTTTTAATAAATTTTGCATTATATACAATAAGAAAAAAAGATTAAAAAATTGCTTATTAATTTTTCGATGCGAATAACCGAAGATTGAAAGAAGCGACTTCGACCCCTCACAGCTTGTTTGTAATGGGATCATGCTTTTGTCTATATATAGTGGAAGACTGGTGAAGCTTTGTCAATTAGAATGATAGCAATAAAACGCTGATTATTGCGAGTAAAAAATTAGGAGCGGATGATTATTTAGGATCTGAAGCTAATCATTTCAGGTCCCCAGTGAGCAACGGAAATTGAGAAAAGAAATAATTAAAATATTCTTATTCTACGCAAACCTTCTATCATTATCAAAATGTATAAACATATATTAGTGATCTTCGAAAATCTAAGTTTTAATAGATTAATGTAATTTAATTAATTTTAATAAATTTAATGTAATTTTAATAAATTTTAGTAAATGATGAGATAAACTTTTAATAAGAAAAATGAGAGATATTAAAAAATTTTAATTTGAATTAAATCTCTTAAAATAGCGTCTTAATTGAAGAGTTAGTTTTGCACAAACATGTAAAGTAGAATGCTGAGAGTAGCAGTATTTTTATGATGTTATGTATTTAAAAAAACGAATATTTAGGAACGAATATTTAGAAATTAAGTTATGGGGATTGCTTGATTAGTAGGATCCGAGCATAAATATTATCGCTGTCCATATAAATCCGTTCTTGATCGAAAATTCTCGACGATCGGCAGAGGGAAGAAATAAATTTGAGAAACACTGCATAGGGGAAGAAGAGAGAAATATACATACATATGCTATTATTACTTGTGTGGAAAGAAATTTATATTGCTGCGTGATATACTATGTTAATTTATATATATATATCGCGTCGGTCCGCGTTTTTGTGTTCGATTGTTCGTGGACCGGTTCGCGCAATCTGGCATGGCAGATAAAAAAGAATGGGAATAAGAAGAAACTTGAGAAAGGCAACGAGATTGGCGCGATCGCGAGAGAGAATGAACTTAACGATAAATACTAAAATTGGTATCTTATCCTATAAATGTTGGCTATTGTTAAATGTTGAATATTGTTCAGCGACAAGTTCGCATGTCTTCGCACGAGGAACATGTATTTTTATCACTAAACATTTTTATTTTTTAATATTTGAAGCTCTTCATGATCTAAAGTGATTTCGAGAGAATATTTAAATCGCTTCATATTAAATCTTTAATAGCCTTAAGTCAACTTTTATCGAGATTTCAAAATATTTGAGACATCTTCAGCGATATTTTATAAAATAAAAAAAATATTATTTTAATATAATAATTCTGATAGAACCTCCATTTATGTATCTTGGAAATAATAGATAATTATTTTACTTAACTTTATGCGATTTACTGCATTCTATTAGTTGTATTTGAACATATGTTTAATTAATTGTATTTAAAGGAAGATAAAAACAAATAGATAATTTTTTTTATATGGACATAAAGATTTTTTTTTT